ATCGGAAAGAGTTATTATAACCTGCATATTTTGTTCATCTGATCTGTTCACTGTTTGAGCACTCCTGTTATGCCTGCGGTAGCGTTCAATTGTCTCCTGCATGCTGTTTCATGAAAGTCATTACTACTATAGTGAACAAATCCATGGTACCACTAGTAATAGTACCTTGCCTTCATAAAATTTATAAGAATTCACATATTTTAGCTTCTCAAAAAGAATATTTTAGTAAACTGATCCATGCATGGTCAAGAAAATATGTAAGTAACCAGCAGTTGCTTATTAAACATCAGAAAAGAGACAAGGAACATAATCGATGTCTTCCAAAGTTTCTAGCACAAAATATAATCTCTATATTTGACATAAAATGAGAATATGGAAATGGAAAGGGAAATTTCTATTTAAATTTTGTTAGATGTTAAACAAACAAGCAAAAGATCAAAAAATAAAATAAAACAAATAAGGCGGCAGTGAAATCCACTGAGACTAGTAAAGTTATTACTTTCTTGATAATAGTTTATATTGATATAATATAACTCTAATGTATGTTGTAATTTCCTCCTCGTTTTCTGTTCTAATCATTATTTTTTTCTCAACATAATGGATTTTGAGAAATTCTATTTTGGAAGGCCCCTCACAAAATTTTAAATCAAACTGGGGTAGAAACTTAAAAATTATATATTCAGCTCATATTCCAAAGGAGTTGCACATATGCACAAAAGTACATATAAGATGTATAATGAACATGAAGATGTTAAACTTTAAAGAGGCAATAAGAGAAGGAAAAAAAAGTGAGTAGTAAAAATAAATGTGTTAACATATATGTTAAGAGAAAAAAAAGGATGAAATACATAAAGATGGTATATGAAAAGAGATCAATGTGACACCTATTGAAAAAAAAAAAAAAAGATAAAAAACGGTTAAGGGCATTTTTTCATATGCAAAGAAATATGTACGATTAGATTATCCCTTGTCTTCAATTTTAATAATATCCCTTGTCTTCAATTTAAAAAAAAATTAAATATATTTTAAAATTATAATTCAAAGGTGAATAGTTGAAAATGCTTTATATTGAACTCAAACTCATCAAGTGCCAATAGCACACTAGAAAAATGGTCATAGAAGTTGCATGAAAAACAAGCACAAAAGATAACAGTCACAGTCAAAACCCTAGATCGACATCAACCACAGTTGAAGTACTACTTCGAAAGGCCAATTTCATAAGCCAAGCATTGATCAGTAATTTAGCACAGCTTAGATTAATTTAGCATAATTTCACTTACAAGTAACATTTTAAGATTTTATTATTAAAAAAAATGTCTCAAGTTTTCTTGCCTCCATATGGAACAAAACAGTTGCCACAAGCAGCCAACCACTAAACTCTTACACTGAAAGGAAAACAAAAAAAATACACTTCTCTCAAAAAAGTGAGACTACTAAGAACTTGTTTAAGATATATAGTGGTGTTGTTGAAAGGAGTACCGTTTGACAGTTCACGTCAGACAGAAACACACATGTTTAGCAGCACAAAGTACTTGCCATAAAATAAATTTTGGAAGAAAAAAAATTACTATGAATAAATTGTCATTTTCAAAGGCAAAATAAAACTCTTCCATATTAATTCTTTTAAAATCAATTCAATTAAATAGAAAAACAAACAGTAGGTTTGCTACGAAGTACGAGTAATTGATAGAGCAGAGTTATGATCAATACGACCAAATGTGGAAAGTTTAAGATATTTTTCTCAGCCACAAAATAATTTGTAACATAGCAGAGTTTAAGAGTTTTTCAGATAAAAAAACATTGTAGGAAGCGCGATTTGGTGTTAAATCGGAATTATACATTTGAACTGAGGATCATATGAGAAGCCAAGAAAAGCAAAGAAAATAATTTTATATTAGTCTTGGAGCTTGAACAAACTTTTAGCTTTTTCTTTGGAGAAAAATTTATCTTTGTCAAATTTAATGTCAATGAACCATTAACCAATATATAATTAAGTTAATTAAAATAAACCCTACTAGCCTATCTTCCTTTCAGTTAGGGGGAAAGGATCCGGATTGTGTAATTTTATTTTTTTCATTACATATTAATAACTATTCTCATTTCAACTTGTGGAGAATCAAAATAAGTTGGTTCACCATCACAATGAGTCAACAAGAACCAAATGAAGTATACTGGTTGTTGTTTCAGATTGTAATATGGTAGGCTACAAAACATGGGGTAGAGGGTTGATAGTATGAGCTTAAGTTCATGGTAGAGGGGTGCTGTTTATCCCTAGATCATTTTATTGTAATTTATCATTTTGTATTCTAGAAAATCATAAGGATAAGAAGTAAAAGAATGTTAATGGATATAACTTTATCTTGTTTTTGTTACAGAACTTGAGAAAGCTTCCTATAAGTTGCAAGTTCACTAAGAACTCTACAACTATAAAGCAAAATATAATCATATCATGCTTCAAGCATTCGATCCTACGATTGAAATAATCCTAAAAGCATACAATGGTACATTGCAATCTTAATATATTTGATCACATCATCTTTAATTAATTTTAGTGATTCAAAGTACTCCTAATAAAATAATTTCAATTGTACCTTCTGTGCAATTCAACGAGAAAGAGAGGATGGAAAAGAAAATACATGATGCACAGATAGATATGATTTTCAAATTATGTTTTGAAACCACTCTTACGTCATACTTAATTACTAATGAGTATAACTCTAGTTATTAAACAAGTGGATCAGACCTAATTAAATAACAACAATTTGCAGTTTCGACTATAATCTAGAAGTTCATACCATATTATTATTATTATTATTATTATTATTATTATTATTATTATTATTATTATTATTACTAATGAAAGTTTAAACAGCCTCGTAAGGAGTTTAGTGTGCCTCTATGGTTATATTGAAAACTGGTGATACTCGGCACATTATTTCATGAAACTTCACAAGCTCCTCGCTAATGGAGTTTTATTTTTCCTTTTCTTTTGACAAATCATATCAGTTGAACAAAGTTGGCTTACTTTGTTGAGTGACATTAGAAATCAGAAGTCATGACCTTATTTTCTTCAACCAAAAAATAATATTAATTTATTGAAGGAGAAAGATATTGCTGGATGTACATAATCATATTTATGTATTGCATGTCATTATATTGTATCATTTCTCTCATTGAAATTGGCTGTCAGTATTTTAGTACATATAATACAGTGCAATATAACCTGCATGCATGTGATGGCTCTTTATCCATTGTTCAAGGAAACAAGTACATCTCCTTTCAGAAATTTTCCGCTTTATATCATCAATTACAACATAGAAAATCTTGCCTAATAGAGGAAACAATAATGATGATTCGACACCACTAATTAAGGATGCATACAAGCAGCAAGTAAACGTGACGAGTGATATATGGAGAAATGAGAAAAAGAGATATAAAGAAAGATGTAACCTAAAAGTTGAAAATGGAATATGAAAGGTGCTCATTGTAGAGGAAATCTTGAAAACTTGATAGACGCTAGCTTACCCCTACCTACTAAATGTAAGTATGTGTAATTTTAGATAGATGGTTCACAAATTAAAAAATGTCAAGTTTAAAAGCATAGTGAAACAAAGGTGGAATTAATGAGCTTCAATGCAGATATGTAATTAACACACGGACTGTTGACACTAAGAAACTAAGCATTAATCTCAACATTCAACTAATTAAATCACTTAAACTCTTGAATGTAAAATCTAAGTCTTCCCCTAAACAGAATTTTGTTCAGCTCCTCGAAGCCCCAAAAGAAAATAAAAAAAGAGAAAGCGTCAAATAAAACTCCTAGGTGCTATCCAAACCCCACTGTAGTACTTCTTCTGAGGTTATCATTAATTAAAAAACCAGAAAAATAAATAAATAAACAACTCCTTAGCCCCTACCTCTTCTACACTTGTGAGGTTATGATCAAGATTTTGAGTCAGATTTGGTCTCTATATGGTGTTTACAAACACATACATAAATCTAGTGAAACGTAGCGGCTAAAAAATTGAAAAGGAACCTTTGCATGAACAGAAAAAAAAATGTTGTATACTTGTATTAATTAGCATATGCAGCACAATCGCAGAAAGCAACAATTTGTGACAAAAATTAAAGTAATAATAAAGGGAAATGTTATATTGTATACATACCTGGTGCTTGCAAATTCATAAAGCTTTCCTCTTGGAGAGAAAATGATGAGAGCAACTTCAGCATCACAAAGGACTGAAAGTTCAAAGGCCTTCTTCAACAAACCATTACGGCGTTTTGAAAAAGTGACTTGCCTGCTTGTGGCGTTCTCTATGCGCCTCATCTGAGTCTTTCCTCTCACCATCTCTAAGCTTCTCAATACCCACAAAGAGAGTGAAAATAAAAAATAAAAAATAAGAGCAATATTCAGAAGAAGAAAAAAGGTTCACTGTACGGTATTTTACATGAAATGAGTCCTAACCAAGTAGAATGAACCCAAAAAACTATGCTTTCTTGTATGAGAGGTTTTCACCAAAATTGGCCCTCCAAGCAAGATTAGAAGCCCAGAAAAACTGCAACAAATAGAAGATTCCAACAGATAAGAATCACACACCAAAGGACAACCATTAAGGGCCAAATAATGTTATTATTATGCCTTGTAAGTTGCAATTATTATGGAAGATGTGAAGAGGTAAAAGTGAAACTGAAGCGTGAGAACGAGCAGAAGAATAATCCAACACAGAGACCAGCTATGCAGATTTTAAGGAAACAAGGTAGCAATAAATGTACATAATTCCCCCCCCCCCCCCCCAAAAAACAC